GAAAATATAATATAATTATAAATTGTTTATATTTATTTATTTTTGTTTCTAATTTATACGCGTGTATTTTATATACAGGTAGAACCCTTCTAAAACACGACGTTTTGTAATACAATTTAATGTTGTAGACCCATGTTCTATAAATGAAAATATAATATAATTGTAAATTGTTTGTTTATTTTTTTTTTGCTTCTAATTTATACGCGTGTATTTTATATACAGGTAGAATCTTTTTACAACACGACATTTTATAATACGGTTTTTCTATAGCATGATTCATAAATTTTGCGAACCCTTTTGAAACATGGCATCCTCTAACATGGTTTTCCTATAGCATGATTTATAAATTGCGGGAAACCTTCCTATAATACAGTTTTGCTATAGCATGATTCATAAATTGAGGGAATTCTAATTCTAACACAGTTATCCCATAACACTATTAGAAAATTTCCGATATAAAATTTATTCAAGACTATACTTCTATAGCATTGGATAATGATGATATTTGTTTAACATATATATTTAAATATTAACAAATTATATAATTATACTTTAGAAATTTTTACATTACTACATTATTACTAGAACTACAAACTTATTTTTTTAACCTTCAAACTTATATTTATATATATATTTACCCCAAGGTTTACTAGTCCTAAAAACTATTCTGATAGCAATAATCAGACTTTGAAGTATATGAATTTTTTTGTTTTTTTTTTTATGCCAAAAAGAATGGCGAAGAGCAAATTCAATTTTACTAAAATGTTAATCGATGCAAAATTGATTTAAATAAATTAAAGTACTGAAAAACGATTAAATCTTCATTTCATTTAAGTGGGGTAGATATCTAGCCCAGTTAGTAGTTCTAAGGTTAAAATAATAACGAATAATAATATGGCGAATAATAGAGAAATAATAATAATATAAAATAATAGAAAAATAATAGCGAATATATATAATAGCGATATTTGATTTTTCAAAATTGATATTAAACGATTTTTACAATTGTCTAATTTTGAATGGTGGTGTAAGTTCATTTGCAGCCTGTAAGTATACACCAGTTTAGTAAAATACGCCTAAAAAAAATTTATCTAACCAAATTACATATTGATAAAACAGTAGAAACATTGCCAGGCTTCAAATAATTTGTCTAAATTTTTTAAATTACCAATATGCAAAAATTAAATTTTCTCGAAACAACAGAAAATGGATTTACACTACTTTCAAAATAAACGGTTCATATAACACGGTTTCAAACAACACGGTATTTTCTAGGAACCTATCTATCTATCTTATAGAAGGTTTACCTGTATATATATATGCGTGTGTGTGTATGTGTGTATTAGATTGATCGTTTTTTGAATTTTTCATAAATTTTGTTTTGTAAAAAATCAACGACCTAGCCACGTTAAAAAAAAAAAAAACAAACTAGTTCCCTTGAAATCAGTTAAGTCAAGCAACGTGGGTTTGATTAGAAAAATGGATGGGTGACCCTTTCGGAAAAAATAAAAATTATTATTGAATAAGTATGAGAAGGTGTGCGTTAATAAAGAAATGATTAAAACCCGTTAAAGGACAGTAATCGAATGTTTTGTTTGTAATACACCTACTAATACAATTAAAAAAAAGAAAAGAATGTTTATACATTCATTTTGATCTAGCTTTAATCAAGCAGATGTTCATTTAAACAAAATTATATACATTACACAATGTCAGCTGGTTGTTAGATATTTATCTTTTTTTTTCCTTTTTTTTTCTTGCGAAGATTGTTTTTCATTAATATTCATCGAAGGATTTCCAATTATAGATGATGGATCATATATACCATGATGTATAATTATTACAATGACAAAAAATAACATTCGTATCGATTATAAATCTTATGGATAAAAAAACGATATAAAAAGATAGAAATAATGAGAAAAACGATAGGTTTGTATTTCCGAAATGAACAATACAAATATTCAGTTAATTTTTATCTATCAAGGTCGGGCCAAAAGTTCGTGCACATTTTTTTGCGAAATTTGTAAATAGTGTAATGCTCACAAAATTTTGGACTGACCTGATAATTTAATTTTTATCCAAATGTACGTTCTATTTTTTGAATTTTGTATGTTTTTTTTTTTTAATTTAGCAAATGATTGAAAAGATTTTCATATTTGATATTTATTAGAATGAAATACGTTGCTGGAATATTATCGATCTATTGTTGGAAAAAGAATAAATTAAAAAGTCTAGAATGATAGAAAAGAAAAAGAAAAAACAAGATAGAAAGAAAGAGAAAGACGACAGTTAGTATTTCTGAAATAAACAATACAAATGTTCAGTTAGGTTCTATGTAATATAATTTTTATCAAAATGTACGTTCTATTTTTTGAATTTTGTATGTTTTTTTTTAATTTAGCAAATTATTGAAAAGATTTTCATATTTGATATTTATTAAAATGAAATACGTTAAATACGTTCCTGGAATATTATCGATCTATTGTTGGAAAAAGGATAAATTAAAAAGTCTAGTATAATAGAAAATAAAAAAAGTAAAAGAAAAAAAAAAATAAAAGATAGAAAGAGATAGGTAGCTCACTTCTTTCATTTTCATATTTGATATTTATTAGAATGAAATACGTTAAATACGTTGCTGGAATATTATCGATCTATTGTTGAAAAAATGATAAATTAAAAAGTCTAGAATAATAGAAAGGAAAAAAATAAAAAAATAAAAATAAAGTTAGAAAGAGATAGGTAGCTCACTTCTTTCATTTTCATATTTGATAATTATTAGAATGAAATACGTTGCTGGAATATTATCGATCTATTGTTGGAAAAATGATAAATTAAAAAGTTTAGAATGAACGAAAGAAAAATAAAAAGAAAAAAAAGGATAGAAAGAGATAGGTAGCTCACTTCTTTC